TAGGGAAAAAACTCAATGCATCTCTGTCTCTCTAGCAGTCTAGGTGCTCAATTCTGTCCTCAGGTTTATATGCTTTCATCACTGCAGCCTTGACAAAATCAACTATAGTGCTTGCTGAAACTAATTTGACATAATCTAGAGAAACATATACCTGTAGATGAGAATAGCTATGATGCCCTGCTTAGCTTATTGTACATAAAATCTTCAGCCACTGCTAGTAAGCGTCACTTTGCATTACAAAAGTGTAATGATTGACCAAGAGAGATTATCGATAATAAATGTTCCTAAAATGATAGATCTGAATGTGACAGAGTGCAAAGCTCTGGAACCCAAGAAGGAAAAGAAAACAGTTATGTTGAATTTCATCTTCATGAGGCTCCTACTACAGAGCTCCAGAATGGAGACAGTTTGCTGCTTTCACTTTGAAAAATCAGGGTAGATTCCAAGACTCTCTAAAAGATGGTCATGAAAACTTGAAAAAGCTTATTCTGATAGGATGGAAAACTATTAGCTGGATAAATGAGGCTTAGTAAAAAGATTGTAGGAGGATAAGGAACGGCATTAAAGGGAGATGATAACAATCTATGGTGGAAGTGGAACTATTGTGCTGCAGGAAGGTCATAAGTGAAGATCCTTGAGAATCAGTCTTGGGATTGATGTTACTTCACACTTTAGCTAATGGTCTTGGGACAAGAAGTAGGAGTGTACTTTGACATTTGCCTATGTCAAAGTTGAAAGGTATCAGCAAAACAGAGAAGGACTGGAATATTTTACAAGAATAACTAGATGACCTTGACAACTGGAGAAATATATAAGGGATATAATGTAATTCTTCAAAGGTCAATACCTTCCATTAATGGACTAACACAAGAATTTTGATTATATAGTGGGAGCTCATCATTTGGAAATGACAGAAAAGAAGAATGCCCTGAGGATATTAGTTGATATCAGGATAGCGATGCACCCATGTGACAAAGCTGAGAAAAGGGCAAGTGTGATCCTAGGATGCATCAGGCAAGGTATTTTCTAGAGCAATCAGGAAGCATTAATGCTGTTGAACAAGTACTAATGGCACCTCATTAGAAATCACATGCAAGATCTAGGGGTATAGGTTGTAGCCGTATTGGTCTAAGGACATACACAGATAAGGTTCTTTGGGTAAGTGTGGTACCTTTTATTAAACCAACTCAAATAGTTGGAAAAAAAATTCTTCTTTGCAAGCTTTCAGGCACAAACACCCATTGTCAGGTTAAGGAAGCATCTGCAGTTGGTGTGCGCTCTTCCTGTATGGAATGAATAGTAAAGAAGCCAGAAGCTGGTATGCATACAGGAAAACCAGTCAGTGACAATGTAAATAAGAGTCAATGGGTGATGGAAGATCTATCACTCAAGTTCAAGAAAGATGAATTCAAACTGGAACTAGTGCACAGAGGAACAGAAGGGAGAGGACACTAAAAGAATACCTAGGTCATTTAGCTTATTTAATTTAGTAAAATTAAAGTAGTGCAGGGCCCAGCAACCTTTTCAAGCTGTAGGCCAAAACAACTTGGCTCTGGAGCATCGCAGGGCAGGTGGCTTTTGCAGCACATTCAGTTGCTGGGGGACCATCTATGCACCCATGCTGGGACCAAGCCACTGGGAACTATGCCCACTCCACTGCCTCTTTTCACAGTCCTCTGCTCCTTGGGGTGGAAGCAGCTTACAGCCCATGGGGAACTGTGCTGGAAACACGTATCTGTAAACTGCATCCATGCTGCTGCTCCTCCTCACTCTCCTTCTCCCCTGCCTCACCTTAGGCTGCAGTGCAGGCGAAGCTGGAAGCTGCCAGACCCCAGCACAGCTTTCCACCAGCTGGAAGCTGCACCTGTACTATAGCTCTGTGGGAGGAATAGAACCAATAGTAGTACCAACAGTTTTTAGCTACCTGAGCCCAGGACAGCTCCCCACAGGCTAACTGTGCCCATGGGGGGTGGAGGGCAGGGAGAAGCAGCAGCAGGGGCAGCACCTGCTGCTGATGTGCTGCCAATGCCCCAGGGCCAGTGTTGAACTAGAGCTGGGAGGGAGAGGAGAAGCAGCAGCAGTGTGGGTGCAGCTAGAAGGTGCCCAGTCCTGGAACACAGCTCCTCACTGCCTGGCTCTAACCTGGGCACAGGCAAAGCCCTCCAGCTCTGTGGGTCATATCCAGCCATATGTTGCTAACCCCTCCCTTAGGGGGTTAAACACCAAGGGGTGAAAAAAATATTTAAATTTAGGAACAGGGTTGACATCAGAGCAAATAGCTCTTAAACTGGCTACATATACATTTAGGATTCAAAGTAGAGGAAAGAGCTTCAGGGGACAGCCTACTAGTTGGAGTAATGGGAAAAAAAGGGTAACTAGTTTTAATGGAGTGCGGTCACTTTATGAAAGGGAACATAAAATGTGGTAGCCAGCCACAGCAGGGGCCTGGATTCAGTGATACAGAAGGTCAATTCCTGTCTTGCGTTCAACTTTTAGAACCTCTCTGAACTACCGCCCCCTTACCCACAGCTATGATCTAGGCTGAGAGTCTCTACTTTTCCTTCCTGACCTCTTCATAGCTGAGATTTGTTTCCCAAACTCTTGAAATCTCTTCCAGTCCCCACTCTCCTACAAACTCAGAACATCTTCACTTACATGCCCAAACCTGCAGGCTCGGAAATGTCTTCTCTCATTCTTGATGCCCCACCAGGTCCAGAAACCCTGTTATTTGTGGCTGAATTTGAGGGAAAGCAGCAGTGAAAAACTGTGCCTGCAGTTAACACTGAACTGTGGCTCAGTCCCTGTGGGGCAGCTCTCAATCAGTTCTACGTACAGTTACATACCCTTATCTTTCTGCATAAGGGGCAAGAATTCCTGTCCTGCGGACATGGCCCTCCACAACTAAGAGCCTCCGATGACTGAAGTACCCCACTTACAAGTCCCTAGGGGCAAACAGCTGGTCTAGCCCCTAGCTGTTTATTAGCCACATTATACAATGTCCATTTATGCAACTCATATTCCAGGATTTAAAATACTATTCACCAGCACTAACACAACTGTTTGCAGAACCTATTCATTAACAGGTATGATTAGGCATAATGTTATGCAGGTAGCCACTATACTCCCTTCTGGCCTTACAGTCTATGAAAGAATTCATGCAATTAGTCAATTGTTACCCCTTTGCCCCTATTTTACCTGCATATCCTTTATTCTAAGTACTAAACAAAATACATACAAGCAGAATAATTAGACTGCTATCTTGGCAAGAGGTTTGGTTTCAGTAAGTATCAGGCTGAAATATTGTTTCTTAGGTGTTTGTTGTTCCTGGGCACTGTAATATATGCTTTCAATTCCCACTACAACATGGGGCAGACTGTTCTACATGCTAATTGTCCCTTGACAGAAACCCTTTTCCTAATAATCTCTCTTTTACTGTTACTCTAAAGGTGTATTACTTGTTAAGCAGTAGTGGCAAACTTGGAACTGTGAACAATAGAGGAAGACTTGGTCCAAGACCCCTTGGGTTTATATTTTGAAATAACCGCTACTATAAAAACATATAGTGTACTGGATGGCCCAGAGCCCACTGCACCATCCCTGTATGTAATCTGAAACCGGAGGCTTGATAGAATTAGTGTATATATAATTGATTGAAAGCAAAGGAGAACTATAAATGGACTAATTTCAGAATGGCAGGAAATCTCAAATGGAATTCCATAAGGGTTTGCCCTGGGTTTGGTGACATTTAACATTTTATAAATAATTTGAATGCAAAGAAAATATATATACTGGTTAGGCCTCAGCTGGAGTACTGTCACATTTTTGGAACCACCTGGCAAGAAAGATGTCGAGAATCTGCGGAGGCTGCAGTGGCAATTGACAATGATGTAGACTTGGAATGCAAGCTGTATGAAAAAAGATTGAAGGAACTACGTCCGGGGAAAAAAAAGGGAGATTAATAGGGAGTTTAACAAATATTATCTAATATTTGGAAGGTTGCCATAAATAAGAGGAAGAACTTTCCTTCCTTATTGCAGAAGGTAGAACATGAGACATTGGGTTTAAACTGGAGCAAAGCAGATTTAGCTCAAATCTAAGGAAAAATCTTCTAACTGAAAGTACAGTAAAACATGCTGCCTAGGGGAGTTCTGGAACTTCTTTCACTAGAGGTTTTCACAAAGAGGCTGGATGAGCATCTATTTGCAATGGCTTAGGAGAGAGAGATCCTGAAGCTGGGCAAGAGCTTGGACTAGATTACCCCTGAGGTCCCTGCAGGTCTATGATGGGTTTCTTTAAAATCAGTATTTCATCCTTTTAAGGCAATCACCAACAGTATAATCTCTCGTACATATGGGCTACATCAGTTCAAAGGAAGGATTACACCCATGAAAGATTAATATACCAAAGCAAGCAGCATGTCCAGAGGGAGAGCTGGAACCCTGTTACAGATGTGCAAGCATGCAAGATCAACTCTGGACATTCACTGATTCACACAACTGAGAATCTGGCCCAAGAAGTTTTGGCTTGTGCATATGAATTGTGGGGCGATTCCAACCCTGGAGTATCAGAGGACACTCAAAGGTGCCACACTGAACATAGTAGGATAGTCCATGAATAGAGAGAGATCTGACAGTCACCTGTACAATACTAACACAGAGCTTGCGAGATCACCTGCAGTAAAGTAAGAATGAGGCCAAGAGAGAATTTATGGTACTTATTCCATTAATTTATGAAGTAAATAGATTATCTGATTTAAAATCACAACGCAGGGCACATGGCTCAGCTATGTATACACTACAGCTGGTTGGAAAGCAAGGGATATTGTACCGCATTGATGAAGCTCCGGTGAAGCAAACTTCCATATACTACACTGGGCTTAAAATTCAAATTCTTTCAACTATTTTGGGAATGGAACAACTCTTACTATACAATACTGAGCACAATAAAAGCTTAACCTTAACTCAAACACTTATTGTAAAATAAATAGTAAAAAATTATTCATTCAAAACATTTGTGCTAATGTTACATGCAGTCTATTGAATTATTAAACACACTTAGCAGTGCAGCAGTTATATTACTATTGTGCTATCCAGAGAATGAGAGTTTCATACACCAGAAGCAAGCATGAGATCACCTATAAACCACCCACATAACACAGGCCATAGATTTCCATCCCCTTAGCTAACTAAGCCTTCAGTAGATTTCTTACTTGATAGGTACTGTTGGTGACCCTGAACGATGAAAATGCACATTCTGCCATTTTCCATCACGACGGTGCCAGACCCGGGTCTCCTCTGATTGCATAGTCTTTGGCATTCCACTTCCATCCATATACTGTGTCAGCCGTATGTATGCAATACAGGCAGCATCATCACCCACGAGATGGACATGAGGATTGAGGATAATAGTGTGGATTGGCTTATTACTCTTAGACAAAGCTAGGGGGAACAAACAAGATAATTTTTCAAAACGAACCAGCCAAGTGCAAAGTCAGCCATGCTGAGCCATAAATACTGTTTCACTGGTAAGCAAAAACCTCTAGGTATAAATAGAGCTGAAAGGATAAGAAGAGAGAGAACAGGGTGATGAACCTGTTCTCCTCTCTCATCAGAAAGGCACTCTGAAGTAAAGGGGTTTATACCACCATGCAGGTACTAAATAAGTGAAAACAACTGTCTATGTTTTTTTAATTAAAACAGTTTTTAAGGATTTCTTACATAATAAAGATGCAAAAAAGTATGTTTTCTTTCCTTTGATCTAGAAATGGGGTCACTGGATGAATCTCATAACCTAGTACCCGAACCTTGTCCATACTAATATCTGGGTGGATTTAATTTTTTTTTTCAGCTGACACTACTCATTTCTGTTGTTCTACTATTGTTAAATTGTGCAGCTTTTATATTCTGAAACTGACATGACTATTAAATCTATTACCTGCATGTAGTTATTGCAGCTAGAAAAATCGGTGGGCTAGATGTTCAGTTGTGAATCACCAGAGTTTCCCCCCTCAAATTTAGCATAAGAAATAAAAGTAATAAGAGGTCAGAAATACAGATGCTTTAATTGTGATCACACTGACCACTGATACATACCTTTTAAGTGTGACTATTGCTATTGTATTCAGTCTCTTCAACAATGACAAAATTATCTACTAGTCCCATTTATCCCTCCACTCTGTTTTCCACAAAATAATAAACACATTTTAAAACTCCCCCCCACAATCAATAGTTTTCTATTATTTCTAAATAAGAATAATAGAAATATAAAGGAAACAAAATCAACAATTAAAAAATTCCATACGACTTAAGGTGTAATAAAAAACCCCCATAAGCAGTTACAAAATGTGAAAGGTTGAAGATGCACATTAAGGGAGTGCTTTAAAGAAGAACAAATAGGAATACACACCATTTTCAAAGTAAAACCGGTGAAAGTCCATTCCTTCCACTAGATTACCCAGAGCTTCTGGTTCAAAAGATGTAAGTCCTGGATCACAGATCTTTCTGTGGAGCAAATTAAATTGTGATAGCAAACACAGTCAGTTAGAAAATGTCACACAAGACTTATTTGTTTTCTAAAATTCTTTGAATAGTCATTTAAATCTGGTTAGATGCTAAAACACTAAAGAAATCTATAGTAAATTTCCATTTGACATTTTGTAAGAGCTTTTGAAGCAAAGGATTACTGCATATACTGTGTAAGGATAGGGGTCTGACAATGTGTTTTTTTTTAAGCATTTATTCCTTCTTGCCTTTCCCAAAATAAGTCAACTTACGTGTAAGCTTCAAAGTCCCCATTGTTGATGGCTTCAATCAACTGCTCAGTAACCTTGATAATCTCCTGTTTGCGTGCTAGAAAAAGAGGATAAACAAACCAATACAACAGCACGTGAGATACAGAGCAAAATGAAAAGCAACAGCCTAAGAGATTGTCAGAAAAAATAACAAAGAAAAGAGCATTTTGATATTTCCCTGATAAATGTGATTGCTATTCTTTCCAAGATTTCTTTGCCTCTTCTATTACCATTGCCAGCAGAGTCATTAGCTTTACAATATATTGACCTTAATGTATTCTGATATTCATGAGAAAATAAAGTGCATGTCAGAGATCAACAATACATTTTGTACTCCGTTTTAATCCAGCTGACTTCACTGAAGAACCTTCGATTAACAAAAATATCCTCTTAACCTTTACTGAATTGTACAGGAAGCCAACTGCCATTTTATGCGTTATAGTCTAAATGATTTACAAGCATCTAGAGTCTGGTGCTTACAGATTTATAATCCTGACCTCAGAAATCTATATGTACAACCAGTTTTACCCTATGTAGCATTCATTTTGGCTAAATAGAAAAGTGTGATTCACAATGCCTTTAACTGCAGAGATGGCACCATTCCTGGAAATAATGGTAATTTCTAAAGAGAAATTTGGGTCCTCCACCTATAACCAAATTCCCTTGGGTGGGGCTCCACTGGGTGGGAGTAGACTCTGGAAGGGAGGCAAGTCATTCTCACCTCTCCTGTGTGATTTATGAGTTGCATAATATATAATGTGCTATAAAGCTAATATCAATGTTCAGTCCTCGGTTCTTAAGTGTCCAGCCAGCTTATGCATGACCCTCCTCCCTTTTGATAGGCCTTGATCCCCCAGTAAACAGCTTCTTTTCTTCTGCTAATTGTGCGTCTATCTCTGAGAATTTCTCTCATCCGCACCCTCTGCTGCTTTTCATTATATTGTGCTGGACTCTTGTGATGAGAGGCCTGATGAAGAATGTCTTGCATTCGAAAGCTTGTCTAACTTTATCCCAACTACACAGTTAGTCCAATAAAAGATATTCTTCTAAGAAATCCTCGCCTCTCTCAATTTCTGGACCATCATGACTATAACATCACTCTTACCCTTAAAGGTACTTGTAATTTTAAAAGCAACTGTCTAGTGATATTGATACCATCACTGGTAACATGAACGACTGGTGCCTCCTGAGATTGGGGGGGGGCCACCATTTGTAGGTGGTTTTGGCAGTGGTGAGTGGTGACCATCCACAGATGTTGGTGGCAGTGTCAGCGAGCGGGGACCGCCCATAGATGCTGGTGGCGGGGGGGGTGGTGAGCAGCAGCCAATCTCAGGGGGCACATGCTCCCCTGTGCCCCCACTACATGTTGCCTATGATTGATAACTTAAGCAATGCAAAGAAAGTAATGTCCTATGCTATTTTTAGTATAAAAAATGTTAATCACTGTAGGAGAATGAAAAAATCCCCCAAAAATCTAAGATTTGCAGGAAGTATTCATGATTCTCAATTTTCTTTTAAATTTTGATGATGTTTTTCATATCTTTTCCCAATCATTTCTGAGTCTCAACTTCATGGCTAATGCATGAAAGACACCTGTGGTACCAAGAGCAACTCCACCTATCCTCAAGTATCCTAAAGCAAATTTTGGGAAGGAAAGGTAGAATATAAATCCTCGGGGGCTTTTACAGTGCTCAAATATGCACTGTGCCCAACAGATATGAGCCTTGTTTGAAGATGTTACATGCGTACTTTAGAAAAAATACAATAAAAGGAAACACAACAGAGGGGAGTAATTGAGGGAAGGAAGACACAGGAAACTCCAAGGGAGCAGGCAGAAGTGGAGCTCCCTGTTGTAACTGAGACCGCTTTGCAGGAAGTGTTCTGAGTTACAACGATCCCCTGCAGTTCATTGTTGGTTTCACAGGGAAGAATGTAGCCGTAGTGACGTGCTCTCTTGGTATAGCACATTTTTACGGCAATGTAGCAGCTAAAAGTAACTGTGCGCCATGTTTTTGGAAGTACTAAATGATGGTGCAGTAACAATGGCACTGTAGAGGCATGTGTAGATGCACCTAGTGTGTAGAAAATTAAAGGATGTAATTAAGTAATTAAGTAAATAGCCTGATAACACGTTCTATTAAGAGATCACTTAATTACAAATGATTAAATTACACAGTAGAAAACAATCTAGTTATCTGATTTATTATTTGGTCATTTGTCCAAATAACACATGCTTAGTTAATTATGCAACTAAGCATAATTGTTGGGGTAATGTAACCAAAGGAAGGGCCTGACAAACTGAATAAAGTTTCCAGATGCGACATACACTAAACAATAAGACACCATGCAATTTATGCTTAGTTGGTTAATAGTAACTCTTGGCACAATGATAACATCCTTTTGATCACAGTTAATAATATCACATGCTTGATTTTACAATTTTATTGTAACATGCCCACAGGTAGCCATGTCATGTATACTGGAAATTCAGCAGTGAACATCTTGAACATAACCCTGAGCAGAATGAGACAGTCAGCTCTGTTAGGTTGAACTCAGGCAGAAGGCAGGGATGAGATGCATCTTACAGATTAACTGAATCAGAGAGTCATATGCTTTTGTGAGTCAGAGCTCACTTCATCTGAGCGTTAACTCACAAAAGTTTATGTATCTCTAATTTAGTTAGTTTCTAAGTTTCATCTCTACCCTGCCTTCTGCCTATGTCATAATATATTGCTAAGTAAACTCAAGGACCTTCAAGGGATGGTTTTTAAATGGAGCACCATGAATGACATACTTCGGCTTAATATAGTTTGGCAATAATGGACTCATTCTCCTTTGTCTGTGCCCTCCATGGAATGAACCAAATCTGTGCAGAAGGCAGAAGTTACTTTTTCTAAACGGTTCTGAAACTTGACTTCATTCTAAGTAGAAATGGAAATGAAACAGTTTGAAATTCTTTGCTAAGGATTTTTTTTTAAAGGTGGTTTCAGTTCAATCAAAACATTTTGTTTCATTTTTTATTTTGTATTACATTATTATAATAAATTACAACATTAAAACCCCCCCAAAAAAGCTGCAAGGAAAATCATTTCTAAATAAGGGACTGAAACATACTGTCAGCAATTCTTTCCTTGTTTTCTTCCAAAATATTTTTTTTCAGTGAAGCTGTTATGCATTCACAAAGTCTTTGATTTGCAATAGAACTGCATATTTTTATGAAATATGGGTCTATCAACATTTCTCCTATCGACTCCAATATGAACATTTGGTAAAGCTATGAACTTGCTCATTTGTTCCCCGATCCTAAGGGAAATTATCCAGGAAGCATCATAGGCCAGCAAAGTCAGTAAATGAAATTAAGGAAAAATACCACTGGCTTAAAGTAACCCAAGTACTGTGTGTAGTTCAGCACAAGTGTCAGTTCTTCCACTGCTTCTGGAAAGGTTTGTCAGGGCACAACTGGGATTGTCAGGAAGATTCTGCCAAGTGATCTACCTTCTAACTCATCTCTCATCAAATTTCTGTGAACCAACAAAAACTAGATGGAACTCAGTGCAGAAGAAAGCACTATGCTATATTATGCCATCCTCTTCTGTGGGTGTACACATAGAATTATATATATGAATGGCATGCAAGATGTCTTCCTATTCACTGAATTTAGTGGAGTGCGATGATCCCAGGGGTGAATCCAGGGAGGGCATGGTGGTATGGTCACACCCTCTTTGCCACAGTGGAGCCCCGCATTTCAGGGTCCCCATAGTCCCAGATACCTGAGTATCCTGTAGAGCCCAGACCATGCAGTGGGAACATGGGAACAGGTCCTCGAAGCAGGTAAGAATCTCCCACCCTTCTTGGCACTATTTCCTTTCCCCCTCCATACTCAGCAATACCTCCCCTCCTCCAATTTTTCCCTATTCTCTACTTACGCTTCTGGGAACAGGAAAGGGAGACCTACCTACCACTGCCACTGTCCCTGATGGACCTAAGGGGCAGGGGGAACCCCAGAGCTGCTCCTATCCTGCAATATCTATGGCTGTGGAAGCAGTTGGGCAGGGAGTCGGGCTCAGCTGAAAACAGTGGCAGTGATGGGCAGGTTCTTCCTCACCACCCAGTTCCCCCCATTGTTCCTTGCCAGCAGGCACAGGGAGAGGGAATCCACCTGTTGCCACTGCTGTTTCTGGCTGAACCCGGCTTCCCGCACAACCGATCCCCATTGCTGGAAAGGGGCAGAAGCAGTTGGGGCAATAGTGGCAGGGGGCAGGTCTCCCCTTCCTGTATCTAGAGGTGCAAATAGAGGGAGGTGGGGTGGGGGAGGGTAAAGTTAACTCATTCAGGGACTTAAAAAAAATCCCTACTTCTTCTCCTATGACATCTGCCCTGGCAGGGAGGGGAGGTTGGGAGTAGGAGAGTGCAGCCATCCTACAGTGCCAGTTATTTCTCTTGCACCTCCTTTTTCAAAATCCTGGCTCCACCTATGATTACTTCCTAAGACAGAAGTGCTGTGTGTTTTGGAATGTGAATACCAGCATTTGCCCCAGCAGTGTTTCATGATGAAGAAGTGCTTCAAAACAATAAAATCCCTATTATTGTATGGGCTGCCTGATAACAAAGATTCTCTTTTAACTCAGATAACAAAGATTCTCTTTTAACTCAGATTGAATAATCACACTTTTTTAAAGGAAAGTTAAGAGTTATATAGTCAGTGGTTCTTTGGTGCAATTTAGCAGAACCACTGTATTTAGGATTTTGCTTAACAAGTACACAAATATTAATATCTTGAAAAAATTAACAATTAAAAATCAGACAGGAATCTGTCACTGATACAACTGATAGGTGCATTTTTGGAAGTTGGCTGAGGAATTAAAATATCTCATTATGAACAGGAGAGAAATCACACATTTAACCTCAGAATATAGCAATGGATTTCTCTACCATGCTCAGCAGGGAAGAAGATAATCTTGGGAAGGATTTTTAAAATTCCTGAAGAATTGTAAGTATATTGTTAAAAATTAACTGATGCTTTGTTAGTTTGCAGATTATTGCCCTTAATGCAAAAAT